AAAGTGAAACAGAAAAAATGAGATATACAAAAATTATCACCATAGAAAAAATGAGATATAAAAAAAATATCATGTCAGTTAATAGTTGGGTAACCATTAGCATGAATTATGGCCTTACAACATCTTCCATGGAGTGAACCAAGTCTTTTAGTTCTGCAGCTTTTCTAACGTGAAACCAAGATTGAAGGATGGCTTCTATTAACTGGGTTTTATTGCTGGGTCGCTTCTGACTAACAAGTTTCTTTAGTCGGCTCCATAGATTTTCAATTGGGTTAAGGTCTGGGCTATTCCCAGGCCATTCCAGCAGTGGAATAGGATTATCTTGAAACTCCCAAAAGTTGTGGTGTTTTTAGCCATCAAACCTCAAAAATACACTTTTCCCAAAAGGTTTCCACAATTTTGGCCACTTCTGAAGCTCTAGGGAACTTACAGGAGTTATTTGGGAGGGGGCCACAAAGTTTGGGGAAAATATGTCCAATGGCATACTAGGATGTAATTACGATTCCTCCACAGAGACCCAAAGGTATCCCATGTGTTATACATATTAACAATTGGCTGTTCTAAACCAACAAAGGAGACAAACTCAGTATAGATCTTGAATTATAAACTCTTCCCTGGTTTCAGAGTTTTCAGCAGTGACAGCCATTCAGTCATCCAGGTCATGGTTGCCTCAAAGCTTTTTTTTTTCAAAAGGCCTTCGTTTTTTCCCTGAAGATGTTTCGCTTCTCATCCAAGGAGCTTCTTCAGTTCATGAACTGAAGAAGCTTCTTGGATGAGAAGTGAAAGTTCTTCAAGGAAAAACAAAAAAAGTCCAGTTGCCTTTTGAAAAAAAAAGCACCTTTGGGACAGCCGTTCAGCTTTTAGAATAGAAAAACAATTACAGCCCCTGCACTTAAGCTCTTCCTTCCCCGTTTGAACACCAATGTTTGTATATAAAGCACAACAGGAAATATTGGATCTATACGGGTATGTAATTTTTATCACAATTGCTCAACCAAAACAGGAACCTACATTCTTGCAAAGCCGCAAGTCCTTTTACTGGTGACATTTGATTATACGCTTGAATTTTACTCATCATGCCTACAGAGTGATTCCATGGGGAGCAGATCTGATGGTCTGCTAGGAGGACCGTCAGGGCCCGAGAGAAGGAAGCAACTGGCAAATGACAACAGAGCTAATCCCATCAGAAAAAGCGTCCGCTACCCTTGGAGACTGATCGACTGGCCAGTGACTTTTCTGAACAGCACCCGCTCGGACAGTGCCATTGTCCATAAAGAGATTGTTGGGAGAGAATGTCTGTTCTACGGAGCTTTCATTGGTGGGGAGACACGGAATGTGGAATTCAAGCAAGGGAGCGGAGAATACCTGACGACAACGCTAAAGCATCATTTGCGGAAGTACACCTGTGCTTTTCTCAACAGTGAAGGGGGCAGTCTTTTCGTGGGAGTTGAGGACAACGGCTTGGTGCGTGGCGCCAAGTGCGACCACAAGGAAGAAGACCGAATTCGCCTGCTGACCGATTCTCTTTTAAAAACCTTCAAGCCCCAGGTTTTCCCTACCGCCTACACGCTCAGCTTCATCCCAGTTATCAAAGCGGAAGATACGGGCATCTTTCTCAAAGTCATCCGGCTGAGCGTCCATCCTCCCAAGCCGCACGCAGAACCCCTCCTGTATGAAACAGATCAGGGGGAGGTGTACCTGAGGCGAGATGGCAGCATCCAAGGACCCCTCTCTGGAAGCGCTATCCAAGAGTGGTGCCGGCAGGTAACGTTCAGATTTTGCACATCTTGTATAAAGTGCTCGGGGACGTACAAACCAAATTCTAGCTGTCACACAAAGAAGTAAGTTTGAAAGTGCCATCCGATAAGCAATAGCAATAGCACTTAGACTTATATACCACTTTACAGTGCTTTACAGGACGTGGTGGCTCAGTGGCTAAGATGCTGAGCTTGTCAATGGAAAAGTCAGCAGTTCAGTGGTTCAAATCCCTAGTGCCGCGTAACAGGGTGAGCTCCCGTTACTTGTCCCAGCTTCTGCCAACCTAGTTCAAAAGCACTTAAAAAATGCAAGTAGAAAAATAGGGACCACCTTTGGTGGGAAGGTAGCAGCGTTCCATGCGCCTTTGGTGTTTAGTCATGCTGGTCACATGACCATGGATAAGTCTTCGGACAGCGCTGGCTCTTCGGCTTTGAAACGGAGCACTGCCCCCTAGAGTCAGGAATGACTAGCACAGATGTGCAAGAGGAACCTTTACCTTACAGTGCTTTACAGCCCTCTCTAGGTGGTTTACAGAGTCAGCCTATGGCCCCCAACAATCTGGGACCTCATTTTACCGACCTCGGAAGGATGGAAAGCTAAGTCAACCTTGAGCCTGGTGAGATTTAAACTGCCAAATTGCAGGCAGCCAGCAGGCAGCAGAAGTAGCCTGCAGTACTGCACTCTAACCACTGCGTCACTGTGGCACGTAAGAAATGGCTTCTGGTTCCCCAACATACAAAATTGGGGGGCTTTGGAGGCTTGTATCGAAATTGATTGTTTTTGTCAGGAATAAATACTTTTGTCATTGAAAGGCAAGTTTAAAGTTCCCAAAGGCCAGCAGAAAAATAAAACTGCTAAATCCTTTCAAATTAGAATCATAGGTAGAGTTCAGCTATTGATGATGGTTGTGTCAGCCTTCTCTCTAGCAACCCAACGATTAAAATATCCAAGGCATTTTTTTTTCCTGCTACAGTGCTCTGCTTTTAAGTAAACCTTCTGCAGAATAGATTAAGGTGTTCCAAAATAACTGAAGACATTGCCCCCGCTAAAATCGTGCAAGAAACAAGGGCAAGCCAGATCATCTCCTTACCATTTTAAGAGACTTTCTGGCTTTCCTGATGCCATCACCAGAGTCCAGCTTGCAAAACAAATAGTGCAAAACCGCTATTATGGGGAAGGGAATGACCATGACTTTGTAAATTTCCCAGAAATGGACAGAGGAAATCAAGAAGCTGGAATTGAAAACAGGCGACTTGCTGAAGGAGAAAGAAAACCTGCAACAGCAGATACGTTTGCAGAATAACAGCACAAAATGCTGCGTCATCTCGTAACGTTAAGCCATGCCTTCCATAATCAGCTGGAGGACAGCTACATACATGCCTGGGCAAAGAAAACGCGGCCCCAGTTAAAAGCTTGGATCTACCTACGGTCATCTTGTGCCAGGAGAATGGGGGCCATTATTAGGCTCTGCTTTGCTCTTTCCAATACATGTAGAGTGGAGAAAGCAATTTTTCCCTCCTCTGTGTGGATGTGTGTGTGTTATCAAACCAGTCGGGTTGATGAAAGTGATGGAAATCATCTTTTGTACATGCACTGTTGTGCATCAATACATTTCACGTTATCGGTATTTAAAGGGGGGGGGAACCATTATTTGCAACTATATTAACATGGCAATTTTTTATTTTTTTTTAATTTGATTTATATGCCGCCCTTCTCCGGAGACTCAGGGCGGCTTACAATGCGTTAAGCAATAGCCTTCATTCTTTTGTATATTTTATACAAAGTCAGCTTATTGCCCCCACAAACTGGGTCCTCATTTCACCTACCTTAGAAAGGATGGAAGGCTGAGTCAACCTTGAGCCTCGGAGAGATTCGAACCAGCAGAAATTGCAGGCAGCTGTGTTAATAACAGGGTGCATTAAACCACTGTACTATCAAGGCTCTATTCCCATCACCCCCCTTCTCTAACCTGCCCTTTCCTCTGCCTGTTTTCACTGTGTGCCTATTACTGCTATCGGCAATTCTCTCCTTAGAAACAAAAACCAGGAAGTTACTGCTGGGCTGTTCAAGCAGGTTAAAAGTCCAAACGTGGATTATGGTACAGTATTCTTTAACTGACATCCACCAGCTGGCAACTTGAGAGCACTTTTGAAGCTTGGCTTGAGGCTCATGATTAAATTAAGGCATCTGTCGGAACCCCCAGACCAGCATTTATGTGGGTGGTTGTTTCAGATTATATAATAATAGCGACCTCCTTTCCGTGGGTTAAGGAAGAGCAGCCAAGTTAATTCCTTGAGTAAACATTAGGCAATGGGTCCCAGGAAGTTTTCAGTTGGCCCTTAGTGTGATTTGGGGACAGTGGAGTTGGGATGGTACTGTTTCTACCATCTTTTTCTAGTATTCCAGGTATAGTATCAGCAATAATCAGGAGCAGTGGTGGGATTCAAATAATTTAACAACCGGTTCTGTGTACTAATGACCGGCTGGGTGGGCGTGGCCATGGTGGACAGGCGCCCCCCCCCCCCCAGTGCCCCGTTTTGGGCCTAGAAGGCCTCCCTACAGTCTCCTGGAAACAAAAACGGGCCATGGGGATGGCACACCGCACTCCCCACCACCACACCGTTTTGGGCCTAATAGGCCTCCTTGCACTTACCTGGGAGCCAAAATGGGGCGCGTGGGGACACCTGGAAGGGGCAGGGTGGGAAGGGGTGGGGTGGGATGGGGCCAGTCAGCAATTTAACTACCGGTTCGCCTGCACTGGCAGAATCCCACCACTGATCGGGAGGGAGGGAGGGAGGGAGGGAGGGAGGGAGGGGAAGGAAGGAAGGAAGGAAGGAAGGAAGGAAGGAAGGAAGGAAGGAAGGAAGAAGGAAGGAAGGAAGGAAGAAGGAAAGGAAAGAAGGAAGGAACAATGTGGTGTGAAGGAGGGAGGGAGGGAGGAAGGAAGGAAGGAACGGACAATGTGATGTGAGGAAGGAAGGAAGGAAGGAAAGGAAAGAAGGAAGGGACAATGTGATGGGAGGGAGGAAGGAACAATGTAATGTGAAGGAGGGAAGGAGGAAGGAAAGGAAGGAAGGAAGGAAAGGACAATGTGATGTGAGGAAGGGAGAGAGGGAAGGAGGAAGGAAGGGACAATACGATCTAATTTCAAAAGAAATTCCACTCTTTAAATAAGAGAAATGGAGAGGGCATGGGGGAAAAAAAGAGTTTTCAAGTTATATAAACAACACGGGGCAAACCAATTGCTTTCCCAAAGTTTTAATGAACTGAAAAGGATCTGTACATCCAATCTATTTGCACTAACACACTGTTTCACCTAACTTGCTGGAAAACGTAGTTGATAACCTGCACTGGGAAAAGATCGTAAACCATGTTTTCCTTCAAACCAACCCCCCCGCCCCCCTTTGCAGGCTCATCCTTTCACTCTCCTACGGCTGCATCTGCGTGTCCCTGGAGGCATACTTCCCCTTGTAAAAAAAAACAGGTGCCTGGGACAGCCTCATACGCCAACAGGAGCTCTTCGTTCTGCACAGGGTGGTCTTCGAAAAATAAGACCCTCGGTGCTTCTTTCTAGTCCAAGGCGAAGCTCTCAATGAGAGTGCAAAAAGGCAACTTCTGAAAAGTCACTTTTTCATACACGTGCACACCCTCCCCCACCCCTCACCCCCCCCCCCCCTTGATGCAAGGAATCGAATCAGTTCAGGAAGCTGAACTAAAGGAAGCCATGCTCCTCTGGTGAATGCGTAAAATGGGGCGCACGGGGGGGAATTGACCCACTCACATTTTTGAAACATCTTTGAATGTGTGGCCAGATTTGCTTAGCATCAGAATACACTGTATCTCGTGAACAGGAAAATTATACTCTTCGGAAAGGTTAAGCAATGTTAAGTGTAGCACCAGTTTGTTTTAGAATACTTTAGAATAGGGATCCCCAAACTTGGCAGCTTTAAGACTTGTGGACTTCAACTCCCAGAATTCTCCAGCCATGCTGGCTGGAGAATTCTGGGAGTTGAAGTCCACAAGTCTTAAAGCTGCCAAGTTTGAAAACTTCTGCCTTAGAAGCTTGCGATGGCCTGCCTTGCACGACTTTCCACTGAGATGCCGACAATATAATCTACCCTCCCAACAATGGAGAAGCATCAAAATCCTGAACAGAGATTCTGCGCGGCCTCTTCTGCGAGCATTTACAATGGCCTGTTCAAACAAAATGTCTCTTCCCCTCCCTCAGCTTCTGCACTTTGTTCACAGTTGAGCACAACTAAAGCAGCACTGCCAGTTTCTCGGAATACTTTCTTTTTTAAAAAATAAAAATAAAAGTAACGACAAGATGTCCTCCAAAAATAAAAACAATTATAATAACATGATCTACAAAATCCTCAGGACGTATGGCTGTCCAGTGAAGAATTTCCAAACACCTGGATGGTGGGTAGGTTGGGATGAAGAGAGAGAAAAAGAGGAAGATCAGAGATATTTATATCAAACTAGCTGATAACCCAGCGTTGCCCCGGTATTTAAGAACCAATCCCCCCTTACCAGAGGGAGCCCCCTTGTGGAGTATCGTGAAGCCGTTACCATGGCAACTCCACTGTGCTGTACAGTTGAAGCCATTTTAAGGCACAACAGGCTGTAGCTTAACAGAACTTGAATCCAAAATGCACACTATCACTGTCAAAAGTACTGTGATTTGACACTATAGATACAATTCATTCCTTTTCATTTCAGCGGCCCAGGCGTTCCAGAGTTATGCTGGAACACACACACACACAGACACACACACACAGAGAAGGGGTGTTAGGGGTGTCTTATCCCCACAGTATTTTTTTCCAGAGAGTAAGTCATCTGTGTACCAAGTTTGGCTGAAATTGCTCGAGGCGTTCCAGGGTTATGCTGGAACATACATACACACAGAGAGCTATTTATATGTGTGTGTGTGTGTGTATGTGTGTGTGTGTGTATCAGTATTTGGAAAATACTCTTTAACCTGGTAATTTTGACTACAATGCTGGTCCCAGGAAATGTGATGCAAGCAAATAGCGAAAGAAACAATTTTAAAAACCTGGAAAATGAAAAATAAAGATTTTACCAGCAGTTTACTCATGATTCTCTGCAGTAAATTTCAGTTCTGTGATCTCAGAATCAGGGGAACTACTTCCACTTCTGTCACTATAGGTATCCCTGTAAAATTCAGGTTGTTAGAAAAATAACAGGATTTCTCTTACATACATAAACAAAATTCTGTTCCTGGTCTACTGGTTCAGCTAGAATTCCTGGCCACTGAGGCAAAAGAAATCAAGAGAAAGAACAGACTACAATCTACAGCAAACACTGGAGGTCTCAACATTCCTGAAGATAAGGTTGCTTGGCTGTATTTATATAAAAACCTTTTTTTATATAGTGGGGGCCCATTCTTGTTTTGTAACATAATGACCTGTTACAGGAAGACACAGAATTAGATAGGCCACAAGGGTCTTGGAAAGTTTTTGCTGACAGGCTAATCTGAACCATTTTTTTTTTTTTAATTAAAGACCAAATACCATATTTTTTGGAGTATAACATGCACTCCCCCTCCCCCGCCGCTAAAAGTGGGTGGAAATATCTGTGCATCTTATACACCAAATGTTGCCGAAGCCCTGCCCACCTGCCAGCCCTCACCCTTCAACCATTTTCAGCCTCCGCATGTTCCGTTTTAGCCCCGTTCCAGGCTGTGGGGATTGCCACAGCACATTGCCGCCGATTGCTGCCTCCAAGTGTTGCGTTTTTGGCCTCCGTGCATTGCGTTTTCAGCCTCCGCACACCCTGTTTTAAACCTGTTCAAGGCTGCCGGGATCGCTACAGCACACCGCTGCCGATCACAGCCCCCGCATGTCACATTTTTGGCCTCCGCATGTCATGTTTTTGGCCTCCACATGCCCTGTTTTTGGCCTCCGTGCGTCCCATTTTCGGCCTGTTCCAGGTGGCGGGAATCGGTGGTGGCGGCAATCCCCGCAGCCTTGAACCTGCAGAAAACACAATGTGCAGAGGCCAGAAATGGGGCGTGCAGAGGCTGAAAATGCAATGCGTAGAGGCAGCGATCGGTGGCAATGTGCTGTGGCGATCCCCGCAGCCTGGAACGGGTCTAAAGCAGAGCATGTGGAGGCCAAAAACGCAACGTGTGAAGGTGGCGATGGGATGTGGCGATCCCCGGATCCTGAAACAGCTGATTGGCAGTATTCTGGGAGGCAGATCCAACCGCCAATCAGCTGCTCGTGCTGAATCAGGCTGATATAACGTTCTGAAGCTGACCAGGCTGTTTGCTGCAAGGGCACTAGTCAGATGAATATCAATGGATGCTGGTAGGCAGAGGCAGAATTTTTTTTCTTGTTTTCCACCCCAAAAACTAATGTGCATCTTACTCCAGAGCATCTTATACTCTGAAAAATACAGTATATGAAAGTAAGAGAAATAGTTATTTGATTAGATGCAGAAAACAAAATACTGTGCAAGGGAATAGGATGTTATCATGAAGGCTCCAACGCCAGATGGATGTAAACCTGAGCTCACATACTCCCAAAGCAAGTTCCAACAGTATACAGGAGGCTGGACTTACCTGGGAGAGAGTCTGCAACCTTTCTGGAGATAATGTGAGAGTTTTCCTGCGGAGGCCAGGAGGAGGCCAAAGTAAGGAGGAGAGGGTTTTATGGGTCTGGAGAGGAATTCTGGGTGATACTGAACCCCCACAAAAAATGGATGTTCTAGAGGAGAAAATAAATCATGCTTTATTACCTTAATGGCCAAAATTATTCATAAGGCTACATGAATATCGTATAAAAAGCTAGAGGTGTGTAGCTATGGAAGAGAATATTTGTACCCAGGGTTGAACTGCGGGGTCCTTAGTGCTCTGAGCTTGGTTGGTTTTTTGCAATCTGGGTAAATCACTGATGTTACCTAGTTTGGTACTGAAAAAGAAAACCAAGCTCAGAGAGCACCAAGGACCTCACTGAAATTCATTTTTTAAAGAACTACTACAGCAATTCTCTTTTTTTTTCTATCGTGTTTCCCCCAAAATAAGACCCTGTCTTATTTTATTATTATTTTTTGCCACCAAAAAAGGCACCAGGTCTTATTTTCGGGGGAAACACTTTTCACTGTCAGAGGCCTTCAGAAACTTCAGCCAGCAAGGCTTTCCTGAAGGGCTCTGTAGCCGATAACAGAGCTCCAGATCAATCCGGAGCTCTGTTATTGGCTACAGAACCCTTTAGGAATGCCTTGCCAGCTGCAGGAGAAATGGGCCGAGGTGTGCAAGGCCTGGCTGTAACTGTCCGAAGCTAAATTGTAGGGCAGCTCCACCCCCCCATCCCTGCCCTAGCTTAATTTTTACCCGTGCACCCTGGAGTGGGTGGGGTCTTAATTAGGGCTTATTTTGGGAGTAGGGCTTATATTGGGCGCACCAGTGGTGGGTTTCAATTTTTTTTACTACCGGTTCTGTGGGTGTGGCTTGGTGGGCATGGCAAGGAAAGGATACTGTAAAATCTCCATTTCCTCCCCAATCCGGGGAAGGTTACTGCAAAATCCACATTTCCTCCCGATCAGCTGGGACTCGGGAGGCAGAGAATAGATGGGGGCGGGGCCAGTCAGCATTTTTACTACCGGTTCTCCAAACTACTCAAAATTTCCGCTACTGGTTCTCCAGAACTGGTCAGAACCTGCTGAAACCCACCTCTGGGCCGCACGTGTAAAAATCAAGCTAGGACTTACTTTTGGAGTAGGTCGTATTTTCGGGAAAACACAATATCTAAGGAAAGATCACTTCCACAAATCTCAGAGAAACCCCTAAAGCTTTTCCTCAATTAACAATAGCAACCCTTCTGGTGACAGATCACTGCTCACCTTCCAACTCAACCACTTCCATTCGCTCTCCTTCCACATCCTGGCCCACAAACTTCATACCTTTCTCTTCAAACGAGTTTTTCAGCTCTGGATTTACCTACGAAGAGAAGATTACACCAGGTGATTTTTTTAAAAAAACTGGACTTTGGAGAAAAAGGGGGTCGTCGTCGTCCCCCCGCCGCCTCTCTCCACTACAAGTAGCCATACCTCAAATCTGTGTCTGTGCCTTTCTTCCAAGTAATCACCATCTCCATACAGTTTTCCTATTGGTGGGAAAAAATACATGGCCATTTGATTATTTGAAATTAGCCATACTTATTAATGCCATACCTTCCCTTTGCCTTTTCCTGATATAATGTTGATTTTCTTCCTCTTACAGAAAACTTTATTAGAAAGCAGTTCCTGTGTTCATCAAAATGTCACCAAAGAAAGAATGCATGAGCCTATCTTCTAGTCCAGGGGTGTCAAACTCGAAGGCTGCATCAGGGTTATGTTTGACCTTGTGGGGGGGGGGGTGGCCAGTGTGGATGTGGCCAGCTCGATGTAACTCGTGTCGGGGTCACCTGTGGCGGCCCAAGCACTGTGCCAGTAAAAATGGGCTCCCGAGCTCTGTTCTCAACTGCGACGGCCTCCTGCAACCCTCTGCCAGCGAAAACGAAGCTCGGGAGGCCCTCCCGAACTCCGTTTTCACTGGCAGAGGCACTGCGGGCCGGCCTTTTCCTGTTTCCAAGGTGGCCCCATGGGCCAGATCTAAGCACCCTGTGGGCCGGATCCAGCCCCCAGGCCTTGAGTTTGACATCCCTGTCCTAGTCTAATATTTATTCATTTATTTATAACCCGCCTTTATTATTTTCACAAATATTCAAGGCAGTGAACCAACAAACCTTCCTCTTCCTAATTTCTCCACAACAACCCTGTGAGGTGAGTTGGGCTGAGAGAGAGAAGGAGTGGCTCAAAGTCACCTCAGCTGGCTTTCATGGCTAAAGCGGAACTTGAACTCTGTCACTTGCTTTCTAGCCTGGTGCCTTAAACACTAGACCAAACTGGCTCTCAAATATGCTACATCTCTAAGCTTTTCATCTGAACCAGAAGTCCATTAATGGTGTGAAGACAATAGCTTTCCCCACCTGTGATTCCCCAGCAGCTGTTATTCGGTGATGTCATATACCCTCTCTGTACCTGGAGTTTCACGTTACAACTAATAACCGCAAACTGACTTTTCCTCTGTGAACGTGTTCAATTGTTAACTGGCTATCACAGTATCTTGCTGTTATCTATATACTAAAACTCTTGTGTCTGTAATCTTTAATTGACAAAACAATGCATCGCAGGGCAAAATGTTTGGAACCAAGGTGCTTCAAATGAGCTAGTTTACAGAATGCATCCAAAATCCGGGACCCGTGACTCTCCCATGGAATTGAAATGTGGCCACGTTTACAAAACATTTTGTGACCTAAACATGATCCTAAATCATTTTATGACATAATTCTAAATGTCATAAAACATTTCCTGTAGTCCACTCCTGACATTTGAGTGTGCTATACAGTTCAACATGGACTACTTTCAAGACAGATAGATCTCTGAATATTTCCCTGAATTTTACAAAACATTTCAAGTTACACATTAGAACAATGATAGCAAACCTTTTCGGCACCGAGTGCCGAAAAGGTTGCCCGGAAACGTCACACATGCACATGCTCATCGGGGCCGCGCTCCTGAAAAGCCAAACTTCTGGGCTCTAGGACGCATGCACGCCTGACAATCAACTGGCCGGCGTGCATGCACACATCGGTTTTTGGCACTGCCGTGCACATGAAGGACAGCTGATTGTCATGCACGCATGTGCACCAGAAACCCGGACGATAAACAGGCAAGGCCGCGCAGGCCGGGCGACATGGCTTCGCGTGCCACTTTGTGCATGCGTGCCATAGGTTCGCCATCACGGCACTAGAAGCTCTGCCACTGCTGAAAGCATTGAGGAATCTGGCAAGGAAGTATCTCTGAAACGATGACCTGAGGGGTCACGGGGGGGGGGGGTCTAGTAAATACTTAAGTTTAAAATACAAAGTTTGAGGTATATATTTTTTTTCTTTTGTCAAGCTACTACCAAAGTCATCAAAGTTGCCCCAAATGTCCTAGGAAAGTGGGACAGCCACTAACTATAATTTCCCATATGTTAAGGCAGCCTAGGCATTGTATAATCAAAATAGAGTCAGGAGTCAAAAGAAAGGAAGGGGGGGGAAAACAAAAAGGAAGGCCAAGAAAAGCATACTCATGACTGAGTTCTTGGTTTGGAAGATGGTTCTTCTCTTGCCCAGCCTCATGGTTCCACCCATTTGACCTGGATTGTGTTCCGGCATGTCAATTACCTGAGAAGTCAAAGAGGTTGATGTGATGGAGGAGGAGAAGATAAGACAACTAAGAATGTTAAGCAAGTATGCAAGGAAAACAAAATATGTGAGCTGATTCATTTACACAGGTCTAGTAGCATCTAAAAACAAAATTAATGGTTTCTGGCATTGGTAATCCAGAGCTTAATCAAAGGGCTTAAACCCCAATTCTACCAGCTAATACAGTATTTTTCATGTGTACCATGAGTTTTAGAGTGTATTCATGTGGGTCTGTAAAGTTTAATAGTATATGCATAGGTAACATACCCATACACATATACAAACATGCAAAAGTTTACTTTTAAGGTATCTAAAACACTCTTGAATAGAAAGTCAAGTAAATGTAACACACATCCTATTTGGTCAAATTGAGAGATTCACTGGCTCTAAATAAAATAAAATATGGACTTTCATATCTACAAAAAAAAAATGGCAGAGCAACTCTCTGAGAAACACCTAACTTCAAATATGAGACAACATTTTAACAGAAGTTCATCAATCATAATACTATGGGGAAGTCTGATTATTTTCATCATAATTCATTCTGATGAGGCCATGTTTTTTACATTTCCTTTCAAAATAATTGTTGTGAGAAGGAAGGGAGGGAGGGAAGGAAGAAAATGTTCTTGGTATACATAAAAATAAATCACAATAGATTAAAAAAGTATCATCACACTTACCACTGGATGTGTAGTTTTAGGGTCAAATTCGGTAGAGTTGGCATCTGTGGATGATAGGCTTTGATCACATAAATTCTCGGGTCTTAAGAAAAAAAATCTACATTTCCAGTAGAAAGCAGCTTTTCCGTTAATTAGCATTAATGACAATGTAACGCAAGACTCAGAGCAAACGCTTCACATATACTAGGGGTCTCCAACCTTGGCAGTCCTACCCAAATCATTAACATACCATGTTGTATATTTTAATAATCCACTACTTAAGTTTGAACATTTGTAAATAGGTGCTTTCTTATTAAGACCTCTACACTTAGGCTAGTAAACAAAGCAATAAAAACATGGGAGGTTTATATTTTGTATTGCGAACAATTTAGAGAATTAAAAGCTCATCCCTTTATAAACTCTTGTAAAAAACTGGGTAAAGTGAAATAGGTACCATTACCTTACGAGTATAAAAAGCTTTATTGCGATTTAAATGTTCCCGGTATACTGCTGCCCTACAGCAATTATATCACAAGCGATTTTAAAGATTAACATTCTTAAAGACAGGCCCAAATGTTTATTTTCCCACACTTTTACCTTGCCAGCCAAGGATATTGCGGGCAAACTCCACAACAGCCAACTGCATTCCCAGACAGACTCCTAGAGAAAACAGAGCAAGGAAATATATTTTAAAAAACATGCACTGGTATTCTCTAATACACAGCAAAGTCCTATTATCCTTCTTTATTAGACTCTACATAAGCAGCTGAAGATCAGGTACAGGAGGACCTTTGGGATAATTTACAGCAGGGGTGGGGATTCTACCGGTTCAGACAAACCGGTAGCTCCAACGATCAGCTGGGAAGAGAACCGGTTCGCTCCCTCCTCCCCTGCGCTTTACTTATCTTTATCTTCCCAGCTGACTGGCGCAGCAGAGCAGATTGCTGCAGCTCAGCTGTGTTACTCCCAAGTGATAACACAGAAGGTTAGTATTTGTAAAACTGTGTGCACAGCGTGCGTTAGGCGCGCGCAAAGTGCGCGATCACCGAACCAGTTGTTAAACCGGCAGCATCCCAACACTGATTTATGGCCTTACAATTAAGCATCAGTCTGAATGCAAGAAATCACATAGAGGTTTCTTGGGATAATTCTGAACAATATTTCTTTTAACTTATCATTTCAAGCAAGCTGGTACAGAAAAGGACCATTTCAATTCTGGTTCACATTCAAAGCAATTAGTTGAATTTTATTTATCTAATCAATAGAGAGATGGATTGGTTGATTGGAGTAACTTTAGAGGCCACCCAACAGTTTATGCCAGTGGTCCTCAAACTACAGCCCGCAAGCCGGATACAGCCCGCTGAAGCCATTAATCCGGCTCGCATGGGACGAGGCTGCCCCGCCCACATCGTCCCACCTACCTACCAGTCCCCACCCGCCTTCTGGAGGCCAAGGAGGCCAAAAACGGGACGCGCTGAGGCCTTGGGAGGCCAAAAATTCCCCAGCCTCCAGAGAGAACACACACACACACACAAACAGAAGTCCCTCACACACACCCCAAGGCAGCTACATCCCTTCACTAGCCACCTTTCCACCCCCAGGAGCATAACAAATTAATTTGTTTAATTTGTGTGTATTGCTTAATGGACTGCTAAATTGGCCATGCCCACCCAGTCACATGACCACCTAGCCACGCCCACCCAGCCGATCCGGGCCCCCAAGTCTGAGGGACCGTGAATTGGTCCTCTGTTTAAAAAGTTTGAGAACCCATGGTTTATGCTGTAATAAAGAACTATGAGAAAAAGATCACGTATGGGCAAGAGGAAACAAAACATCAACACGCCGAAGAAAATTCAACGGACTCAACAACCACTCTATCCCCAGGCCTGGGAGCAAAGCCAAGTTTTTAAAGACTTTGGGAACATCACAAGGTTGGGTCACATGAATCTCTGCAGAGATGCTATTCCAGAGGGCATGTGCCGTGACAGAGAAGGCATCCTTCTTATCTCTCTCGAGATGACACTGATTAATTGAAAGAATCTGGAAGGCACCCATTCTCCTGATCCTACTGGACAGGTAGAAAATGTTGGACACAGAAATCAAAGTATAGACCAGTGTTTCTCAACCTTGGTAGCTTGAAGATGGGTGGACTTCAACTCCCAGAATCGCCCAGCGTGAAGTCCACCCATCTTCAAGCTACTAAGATTGAGAAACACTGGTATAGACCCAATGCCTTGTCAACTAAAGTTCTGCTACATCTTTCTCCGTACAAAAAAAATAAATAACATTCAAGCATATTTTCTCACCTAGGAAAGGTTTCTTCTGCTTTCTTGCCCAAGAAATGGCTTGGATTTTTCCTTCTGTGCCTCGAACACCAAAACCACCTGGAACCAAAACTCCACTAAACAAAAAAAAAAAAAAAAGACTAAGCCACGCCCAGACTCCAAACTGTCTCTTATGGCCCCATACAAACAAAGACTATGTTTCAGTTTCCAAACAGTCCCCATTGGCTGACCTGTTACCATGTCTATCCAAACAGTCCCCATTGGCTGATCTGTTGCTATTTTCCAGTCTATGAATATTCATACTCTGACATATAGCCCCCAACAATCTGAATTAGACCCAGCAATATAAACTTGTTTCTGATATACGTCATCCTGTTGTTCAGAAACGGAAAACAAGGCCCGGTGCCTAACTCATTAAAAGGAAGTTATTTTAACACTGTCTCAACAAGTCTGGCCTAATAAAAATGAAGTTATTGCTGGGAGAAGTACAAAAACACCTTCAATAAAATGAGGAGACATGTTCTCATCATAGAAAGGAAGGCCTTACTCAGCACTGCAAAGCCTCTGCCAAGCTTCGTGGTATCGTACTGGTTCTTCTTGTAATGTAACCGGTTCCAAATTAGCAGAATCAATATACTGGAAAGAAAGAAAGAAAGAAAGATTGTCTACTTTTAGACCTTGAATGTCAATGTTTGTTGCTCAATGCCTTGATTATTCTATTAACTGACGAAATAGTGACCAAACAATGATCCTTATGATTTTTATTTTTTTTAAAAAAAAAAAAAACAACTTCTGTTCCAAGTTATAGACCTTGGAGGCTTTTTCATCTTAAAATAGTTTAATAATCGACGAAAAACAGAGATGGACAAATTGACAAAAGGGATACAAGAAAAAGATGAAACGGAATATTATTTAATATGGAATAAATGGTATAAATGGCTAGAGGTCAGGAACAGCAAGTAAGAAGGATTACTAATATGCCACTAAACAGACAATGTATGTAAAGTAATATATAGATACAATAATATGTATAACAGATAAAGAAATATATACCTAAATAAGGAACAAGGGAACCACAAGTATATGTAAAGATGGGGAGAGGAAAAACGTGAATTTTAAAAGAAGACCGATATGAAACTCTTGTAAAATGGAAGTTTATGTTTGTGTTTCTGTTCTTGTTTTTAAAGAAAAATATGTTTTAAAAAAATCAATGAAAAACATTGCTTATGTTTTGTGTTTCTGTTCTTGTTTTTAAAGAAAAAAATAATAAAAATTATTCTTTTAAAAAAAAGTCAACAAAAACATTGCTATAGGAAGCTGATGATTACAAAAAAAAAAAGATCATTTAAATGATCACATCATCATGATGCCTTCAAAGCAATCAAGATTCTTAGAGAGCTTTCAGTCCTCTTTTGAGGAACAGAAGAAATTCCCCAGGCCAATCTTTTAACTTTTCGCTCTCAGGACCCCTCCTCACTTTTAAAAAATTATGAAGGACCCCAAAACCATTTGTTTCTGTAGGTTACGATGATTAATACTGTATTAACACATTTATAGAATATTTATTGAATCATGTAAAAATAATATTAAACGTTATCAACATAAAAATGTTCATGAAAAACTATTTTAACAAATAAAAAATAATAAGATTGATATGTTTTACATTTCTACAAATATCTTTTAATATCTGGTAAATCTGGTGAATCCGAGAGGGTCTTGAGCAGGAGTTATCAAACTCAAGGCCTGGTGGCTGGATCCGGCCCACAGGGTATTTAGATTTGGCCCACAGGGTTGTCCTGGAGACAGCAAAGGACCAGCCTGTGGTGCCTCCACCAGTGAAAACAGAGCTCAGGAGGGCCACGCATGGCTCACCCAAGCTCCATTTTCAACTGTAACGGCCTCCTGCAACCCTATGCCAGTGAAAACAGAGCTCAGGAGGGCCACAAGAACTCAGGCCAAGCTCATCGTGGCCACACCCACATGCCCCCCCCCGAGGTCAAACACAATCCTTATGCGGCCCTCAATGAAATCGAGTTTGATACCCCTGGTCTTAAGGGACCCTCAGGAGTCCTTGAACCACACTAAGAAAGAGCCTTGGTAGTACAGTGGTCTAAAGCACCCTGTTATTAAGATCAGCTGCCTGCAATTACTGCAGGTTCAAATCTCGTCCAGGCTCAAGGTTGACTCAGCCTTCCATCCTTTCTAAGGTAGGTGAAATGAGGACCCAGTTGTGGGGGCAATAAGCTGACTTTGTATAAATATACAAAAGGATGAAGGCTATTGCTTAGCGCATTGTAAGCCGCCCTGAGTCTCTGGAGAAGGGCGGCATATAAATCAAATTAAAAAAAAGAAAAGAAATGCTTTTGGGTCTTTTGATCCAATTTCCCCATTGTGTTTATTATAGCTCTGGAAAAGTGTACAGTAGTAGCCAATTGGGGGATTGACACAATATCAATATCCCAAAGATTTTCTTACACAATGCTTGCATTGTTGTTATCACATTGATAAGCGCCATAATTTCTAACATTGCTGAAATATATGAGGTGGGCTAGTTTTTGTTGCTGTGGTAAACGTAGTAGAAGTAATAGCATTTTAGGTGCAATATGAGTTATCAACTCAGGGTA